TTGAGGCTGGTCAATTGTTATGCCCAAATTGCTCATTGCCTCCATCGATTTTCTATTAAGTTCCTAATGCTTTTCTTATAGTAAAGACCCTATATATGTTAAAAGTATATATATTAAACTTGTCTGTGGACTGAATTGGATTGAATGGCCTTTCGAAAGGCCATTATGTCTTAATCAATTGAGTTTATAGATAAAATTTTTTTAAAACATATTAAAGTATAGAAAAATATTAAACTATTACTATTTTAATTTTTTAAATATATTTAAAATAAAAAATAAAAATAAATTTTATTAGTAAAATAAAATTTCGAGCCCATAGAGAAGGTTCCAAAACCTGTGTTTAGTGCCCGATCCAAGCGAGATCGTGTGAGTAACCCGCACTGTGGACTGCTCTAAAGGTTTAAATTATATGTATAGACCTAGTGCTTGTTTTCTTATATAATTGAATATATAGATATAGATATATCTAATAAGACTTGACCAACTTTGTTAAAAAGACGAATTGAAAGTAAAAGATGAATTAAAAAAAGAATTGAAAGTAAAGAGATTTCGTCATAGCTGACACAATGAAAATGGAGCTCGTATGCTGGTGCAATGCTTGAAGAAGACCAAAAGATTAGGCAAGCCAGCGTAATAATTTATAAGCCCTCCCTTTCTAAGGTTTTGAATATTAATATAACAGTGACTTTCATGGAAAATCTCCCATCTTTTCCCTCTAAAATGGGCTGCCACTTCTTGTTTTTTATTTTAACAATTAATGAGTTGTTGTAAGAAAAGCGACTTAGGACAAATGCATACTCATTTCATCACAGTTTTTTTTTGCTAAATTCATTTAATAGTAGTTCTACTTCCTTCCCACTCTAAGAGCACAATGTTGACTGATTTTAACATCAGCTTTTAATACATATAGATAGCCTGTTTTCAACAGAATTACTGCTTCTTTAGAGACAAGAAATAGTTTTGGCTCTCAATTTCTTGGAAGTTTTTTGGAAAGTGGTTGACACAGTAGCTTTAGTCGCATATATCCTTAGATTCCTTGATTTTCTTTGGACAGATTCTACCAGGGGTGGAATTTGAATCAAAACGAAAATTAATTTGATATTATTTTTATTATTATTATGAGATTAAAGAATGACCCTTCATGATCATATTGGCCTATAAATGTTACACGTATACAGCTGCAATTTCGATTATTATATAGGGTTAGACTGAGCAATTTCAATTATGCAGCTGGGTGGAGTATGCTAGTGCTCTGTCTTGTAGCTATGGTGAAACCGTTGAGAGATTTTGAAAGCCAAAGAAGAAACCAGGTGAGAGAAATAAAGAAGAAAACGAAACAGGAGGTGAGAGGAAATAGAAAGCGAGAGAAACACATGGAAAAGCAAATGTATAGGCTAAGCCTTGTTCCAATAGCAAATACAATAATTCCAAGTTTCCTGGATAATGGGGAGGAAAAGGAAAGCTATGGCAATTCTAGTTACATGGACCCTGATTTGCACACAGCTGCGTTGGAAGGCATAATCGTGGAACTGGTAGAAGCTGTGAGAAAGGACCAACTAACAGACAACATTATGTGCCACCAAGCTGTATTCAAGTAAGCCCCCAAAAGAATACAATGCTTCAAATAGCAACAAGTTACAGACATCATGAGATTTTGAATCTCATCTGCAAGGATTTGCCCTTCTTCATTCAGGAGAAAAACTCCTATGGTGACACTGCGCTTCACGTAGTAGCAAGATGGGTGATCCATTTCTAGTCCATCTGATACTGAATGCCATAAAAGATCATTCCAAAGAAGCTATTTTAGGTGAAAAAAAGGAGGATGGCAACACTGCCTTGCATGAAGCCTTATTAACTAATCATGAAAAGGTGGCTAGGATCCTGATTGACAAAAGTAGGGAAATGTCATATAGTGTCAACAAAGAAGGCAAATCTCTATTGTCTCTAGCTGCGGCTGTAGGTTATGCAGATATTGTTAGGCTTCTAATGGAAAACCCATTGGGGAACTGCAATGAACAGCAAAGGCTGCAAAATCGATCACCATTACATGCTGCCATTCATGGGAGAAACATTGGTAATTTATTTTATGTGCAAATTTAGTGATAGGGGTAATTACATTTAATTTCATTTGCTTGTTACCAGACATTCATATTTGCTCTTTGACCATGCGCTAGCAGTTTCAGTGACAGTTGAAGTAATTTTCTGCCTGAGATTATTGCTCCTTGTACATGATAATTATTTAGCCCTGCTAAACTTTTACATTGGAATAGCAGATGTTCTCAAAATAATGTGGGAAAAGGACCAATCTTCTTTTCATTTAAGATGTGAAGAAGGAAAGAATCCGCTTCACTGTGCTGCATCCATAGGCTATCTTGAAGGGGTCAATTTCTTGCTAGAGAAGTTCCATGGTGCTGCATACGAAAGGGATAGGAACGGTTTCTTTCCTTTTCACATAGCTTCTGAAGAAGGCTATATCGACATAGTCCAGGAGTTTCTATGGCACTGTCCGGATTCAAAGGAGCTTCTTAATAGACAAGGTCAAAATATACTTCACCTGGCTGCAAAGAGAGGAAGAATTCAGATGGTGAATTACATACTCAAAATGCCCACACTGTAGAATCTTATAAATGAGAGAGATGAGTAAGGAAACACCCCTTTACTTTTAGCTACTATTAACCAGCGTCCCAAGGCTGTAAGCATTCTGACATGGGATCCGAGAGTTAATCTATGGCTGATGAACAAGGATGGATTAACAGCTCTGGATATTGCTCAACAATACAACACAGACACACAAATAATGGCTTCCTTTCCAAAGGTATGTGATTCTGCACAAAGTAGATTTATATTACTCGTATCAGCGGCCATTGGGGCCACACCACAAGCAGTAGAAAGTTCGTTTCTCTTGGCGGTTATAATTGACTTCTATCTACTACTTGATGATATAAATTATTCAAGGATAATTATTTTACAATAATTTTATGATTGAAAACAAAAAACAAATGAAATTAAAACTAAAGGAGGTTATGGTGTGTAAATGCGCATCAGTTACTTCAAATGCAACGTGAAAATGGTCAGGGTGAGACCAATTGCAGTAAATATGGTAGATGGTTTTCAGGCTACTGATTTTGGTCCAAGGCCTAGGACCTTGTTGGTGCCAAGCTCAGCCTGGAGGCAGAAATCTGAAACCACAAGGTTGGAAGTCTGTTAGAAGCAAAACTCCAATCTTTGTTTTTAACTGGTCTCCGACCTTATGGTTTCAAGTTTCTGCCGCCCAGACCGTGCTTGACACCAACACACCTGAATCCTAGGAAGGTGGTAAGTATCCAATGATAAAATTGGCAAAATTTTGAACCCTGTTATCATAAAGAGCTGATGACTTATATGTTGGTGTATATGTGATCTTGTTTTTCTATTGTGCAGCGATTGACATGGCTAGCCGTAAGACTCACCTGTGCACAACACTCTCAGCCAACACCCTTAACAGAGGACAAATTTCAGTTGAAAGAGGGTGTCCAAATTTGAAAGTTACAAGGAGAGTGCCAATGTAGTGTTACTAATCTCGACAATAATCGCAACAGTGGCATTTTCAGCTGGTTTCACAATCCCCGGAGGTGACAACAACTCTAGTCGTGATGCAGGAGCTGCAATCATGCTACGAGAAAAGATGTTCCATCTGTTTGTCATCAGCAACACAATAGCGATGTATAGCTCCATCCTCGTTGCTGTAACACTTATTTGGGCGCAGTCAATTGATCTTGGTTTGGTGTTCTTTGCTCTTAAATTGGCATTACCTCAACTAGGAATTGCACTTACAATGACGTCCATAGCATTCATGACAGTTTTACATTTGGTGGTGAGCAACCTTACTTGGCTTCCCTATGTTGTCCTCTTCATGTGGCTGGTTTTTCCTTTCATGCTTGCAGCAATCTTTGCTCCACTATGTTGCTCAGTTAAACTGCTACATTCTGCGTTGCGTTTCTTACTATCCCTTCTGTCTGATGTTGCACGCCTTTGGAAGCTATGAGGATGATGATTCAGAGGAATAGCTTTCAGCCTTCTTTAACAATATTACAGTTGATCAGTGGAAATAAACATCTCAAACAGTAATGTTTAATGCACGTTAAACATTTACTGTTATCCGTATTGTAAATTATAATGCAAGGTTCATGTACAGCAGGGTGAAGGTTTTGTAGAAAGATCTTGGTTGAACACTTAGGTGTGTTGCACGTCCTAAATATTCAAAACTTCATGTATACATTAGCTTTTAATCAAAGGGATCAGATTTTTCTTTGATTTCATGCACGAACTTACAATTGCATGGGGAAGAAAACATAGTAAGGAATGAGTTTCTATGAGATAAATTTGAACAAGAGATATATGTTCCAAAAGGGAACCACAGATTTGACAAAAGAGATTATGACTAATGTGCATATGATTTTGTAAAATCTAATGAAGTAGTTAACCTTCGATTCAAGAATCAATATATGTTATAGGATTTGAACTGAAAACATTCCCATGCCATACCACCAGTACTCCAGTAAGAGACTGAAAATGAATGACCGTTACATACACACCGTGGAAAATTTACCCTTTAAGAAATAATAAATTTTTAATTATGTTTGATGTACAGGGTGATAGATATAATAAAATAAAATGATAATTATTTTATATAATATTTGATTTGTATCTAAAAAAAAGTGCTATGATTGTAAAAAAAATTAATCATCCTCTTGACATAAAATAATTTACTCCTCTTAAAAAAAATACTGTTTTTAATTCATAAAATTAAAATTATATATTTTATTATACATTTAAAAATTATTTCAATAATTTAAATAATCTAAACTTTCAAGAAGATTTTGATCAATAAATAAAATTATTTTATTATAATTATTATACACATCATATACAAATTAAAATGATATTATTTAATTTAATTTTATTTATAATATTATTTTATTATATTTTATCATAATCTTATACACTAAATATAGATAACATAAAGAAACAGGGGTAACTCTTACATGGGTTTGTAATTTCTTATCTTAAATTAAATTAACAAAAACCAAACAATGTCTTAGATGCAACACGGAGGATAACATTCCCAAACCGCTTCACAAGGAAAACTTCCAAAATCCAATTTCTTCATATATCCGGAAAGCAAAATCTGTTCAGCTAGATAAGGCCTTAATTACTTACAATTCAACTTAATCACTCAACAGAGTTCTTCCTGACAAGTGCAAAGTACCCCAAAACGGCACAAACGATAGCTACAAGATTCCCTTCCTTCAACAAAATCTTGAACACAACACCAGCGATTTCTCTTGTGATCTTCATTCCTTCAAGCACCAACTTCCTCTTTGGTTTCCCAAAGAAAGCAAGCAAAACCACAACAGTTATCCAGGTTATCAAAGTGGCTGGCACAGCCACAGCCAGAGCTGCAACCATAGAAAGCGACCCAAAAACCGCACCAAGAAGAACAGATGCATAGAGGGCAGGCCAGCCAGAAGAAGCAGAAGATGGTTGGGCTTGATGTTTGTACCAAGAAAGTATTGATTTAAGGGAATTCCATGAAGAATCTAAAACGATGGCATAAACTAGCACAAAGAGAAATATCCATGTTCTCCTTTTGCTCATAATTTTTAGAAATAACATGTATGATGATGGTGGACGATGTGTTATTGATGATGGAGACGTGGGTGGTGATGCTTCTTGCTCTTGCTCCATCATGTCTTTCTTTATTTGAAGTGGCTTGATTCCCTCGCTTTCTGTCTCTGCGCTTGGTTTCCTATGTCTTTTCTATTTTGGTTTTCAGTTATTTTGTGCCTTTCGGAATTGTTTCCTGGTGAGTTTTGGCCTTTGGGTGCCTCTCTATGTCCTAGACTTCAAGATGAGAAGATGGAAAAGTATACTATAAGATTGAGCAAAGACGTTAACGGGGAGTCCTCGGCTCCTTTGCGGTTAAAAGAGTTTTGAGTTCCTTAGAAGGACGCAGAGATATTGATTTTTATTTTTCATAGGCCATGTCCATTTATGTACAAAACAAATATAAGTTAACGAGGAATACCAAGCGAAATCAGTAGCAAGGGTGGACAACTTAAGCACCTTGGCGGCATGTGATTGGGTCGTGTAGTACTTGTGCTTGGAAGACGATCTAATAATTTGGGATGCTTCGAGTAAACTTACCGATGTCTTGGTCGAGAAGGACAGTTGGGTTCTTGAAAGTTTTATTAATCTATGGGATTTTTAGGACATAACTAATTGGATTTGGACCAGAAGTCTTTTATGGGCATTTTGGAGAATTACAATTACTTCCTCGGCTGAAGCTTGCAATAACTGGTTCCTTGCTGGGTTTGCCAAGCTCTTGCTTTACACCTTGCAGAATCTTTTTAGGTTCTCAGCAACCCGACGATTTTTCCCCCTCTTGTATTATTTTCATGAACAGGGAAAACGTGGAAAAGCGATAGAAAGGTTCCAGCCAAACCCTGACTCATGCACCATAGCCGACGTCAACAACACAAAATGAAAAAGTATATCGGAAAAAAGGATTAATGTTGTCACGATTTTTTGTTTGGGGACAACATTGCTATACTTAAAAGAAAATTACGAAATTGTCATTAACTTTTTTTTTTGTAAGTGTGATTGATTATTTAAAAGATTATTTTTTTATAAAACTATTAAAATTACTTAAAATAAATTAAAAGATATTTTGGTTTATGAAATTTAGATTGAGTCTGAAAATACGATTATGAATGAAAAAAATATTAATACCTCCTAATCATTTGTTCAAAAAATAATATCAATTAAATATGTGCTATACATTTATTTTGATAATAAGGTCTTTTTTAATATTTAAAATTTTCCTTAATAATCGATTTTTATTATTTTAGCATTTTTAATTTTAGTTAAAATTTTAAAAGATTTATCCAAATAATCGATTTTTATTTTATTTATTATTTGTAGCATTTTTAATTCTAGTACAAATAAAAATTTGAATTATCTCAACGCTTTAACAAAATTCAAAAAATATTTTTATTTATAAAATTAAGGAAAAACATTTTCAGTTTTCCCTAATAATTATTATTTTTTTAATTTAATCATTTTTTATTTTTGATTAAAGGTTACTATTTATTATTTATTATTTTTTATTTCTTATTAAAATTTTTACTCATAACAATAATTTATTTTTGTTTAATTTTTTAAAAATAATTATAAAAATCCTAACAAAAAACAACAAATATCAAATCAAAAATTAAAAAAAAAATTAAAAAAAAGAAAACTTACAAAAGGGTCAGGTTGATATGCGGGTCAATGCATGGGTTAATAGGTTAGGCACGAATAAATTAAGATCAAAATAATGTCGTTTCATTTGACCTATTTAAAGGCCTTTGTTTGTTTTTGTTTTTATTTATTTTTTTAATTTCTCTTTTTCTTTCTCTATTTAAACCACGAAAGCTTCTCTTTTAAAAAGTTTCTTCCTCTCGTCAGTCATCGTAAAACCTGGATTTTGATTGGTTGCTACAGTGTCACTACTACGCTATCATCAAAAGCTTCAACTAGTGTTAAAGAAATCAAAATTGTTTGAAATTTGATAGTTGAAAAATTCAAAATTTTTCAAATTTTGAAGACTCAAAAAATTTTCAAAAAAATGTCAAAAAATTATCAAAATGATGCTTTTGATCTCTTAAACCCTTTTCCTAAACCAGAGTTCTAAAAAAAAAAATCACAAACTACCTAGATCAAAATATTTTCTTTGTAGTTGAAATTTTTTTTGATTCCTCGAAAATGGGAAGTGGATACTAAAAGAATTTGTTATTTGCATGTGATATTAGTTTTGGTAGAATGGCAGTAGTTTCTCATAGTCCCAAAATTTGCTTTTTGTTTTTGTATGTCTCTGTGAATTGAAAGGCTCTATTTATATAGTTAATCTGAAAATCAAAATCCTAGGTTTTCTGTGATTATTGTGGACTTTTAGGCATGTTGACTTGTTGCCAAAATCTTAGATGCAAAAGTCAGGCAGTGAGGTTGGAATTTGGTACATTTATTGCATCGAGACTTTCGGGAAAGAGGAAGAAAAAGGAAGAAGAAAAAGAAAAGAAAAGAAAAGAAAAAGAAAAAAAGCAAGAAAGAAAAGAATATAATAGTAATAATAAAAAAAATGATAATAACCAAATTAAAATTTTAATAAAATCTAAAATGATCCAATACAAAAATAACTTAATAAACCCAATTAAGATACCAAAACAGACTCCAATGAATTGAAAATCAATTCAAACTTATCTTGACACGACAATTAATGTAATAAATGATCTTTTAATTATAATAAAATATTTAATATGATACTTGAATTTTAACATTTTTTAATAAGGTAATTGAATTATAAATTTATTAAGAGTTAATTACAATTTTTGTACCTAAACTTTGAGAAAATATATAAATTGGTTCCTAAAAAAATAAAATGTACAATTTGAATTTAAAACTTTCAAATAATGTATAATTTACATCATGGACTTTTAAATCATGTACCATATTAACCAAAACTCTAATTTCATTAATATATTAGCTTATATATGTGGTATTTGATAAATATTATCAAATTATGTGTTTACCACTAATATTATCAACATATTTTTTCAATATAAATTAAAAATAAATATTTTTTACCCGATCTATAAAAATTGACTAGAATTAATCAATATTTTTTGTCATGTGATATCCTTATTTTAAAGAAATATTTATTTAACAAAGAATATGAATATAACAAAATTATACTAGCTAGATATCATATAGGCAAGTTAAGTTAAAAATATTAGAATTTGGATTAAAATGTTATATTATTTGAAAGTTCATGCGCAAATTATATATTTTATTTTTTTAAATACCAATTTGTGCATTTTTTCCCAAAGTTTTAAGTACAAAAAGTGTAATTAACTCATCTATTTATTAATGTGATATTTAGAGGGTTGTTCATTCGTCATATGTCATTATTTAGAGCTAAGCATGTTGGAGTGAGTATTATATTAATTAATAAATTCATAATTCAAGTATATATTAAAAATTTTTAAAATTAAGATATCACGTTAAATATTTCAGTATAATGGATTTCACCTGAAAGCCAATTGATCCATTCATTTTGTCATGCTTTGCTTCAGCTGGCTAGTACAAAATGTTGGTAAGAGTTTAGTAGGATATTCATTAATTTGGATATGCTTTTCACCCTTGAGCCTGAGCAATCCAACAAGTTAGGTAATGTGTTTTAGATATCAAGCTGAATCAAAGGCCTCCTTTATAATGGTCTGTGGATCAACCAACTCAATTTTCTCTAAAATCATACAATTCATATAAATAAATGCATGGTTTGACATTTCAAATGGTTGTATATTTTACAATTCCATGTTGTTATCTTAAATAGATCCTGCACATGTCAGAACAACTTCAGGAAGGAATGACCATGGATGTTATGTAAGCCACCAAGTAGAATGGTTGTATATTTTACAATTCCATGTTGTTATCTTAAATAGATCCTGCACATGTCAGAACTACTTCAGGAAGGAATGACCATGGATGTTATGTAAGCCACCCGGTAGATTTTGGAGAAAACTGAGTTGGCGCCTTAATAAAGACATCCAAATTGAAACCAATAGTTTCATTTGGTAATGCACATTGTCACTACCCATATGAATCCATTTGCCATCTAATTGAAGAGTTGATCATACTTTTCCCTCCAAATATACAATAAAAAGAATATTATAGATATCTAATTTTGTTTGAGGTCTTTTTGATATTATTAGATCTCAAATTGCATTTTGATACTGGATTTTAAAAGTCATTTTTCAAGTCCAAATTTAAAGGTCCAAAAGTATTTTTATTTTTATTTATGGAAAAAAAACATAAAATTTGATTTTTTTTTTTAAGATTGTGATTTCATTTAGATTTGAAATTTAAAATGTTGAGTTTGATTTTGGTAATTCTTGGGAATTAAGTTTCTACAAGAAGGAAAATAAAGTTTAACAAGATCATGATAGATTCATTGGCGTTAAAATTTTTCAAATTGAAAGGGATTTAATCCCTATACAAAGAGTCCACTCAGTTTGAAAAAACTATGAATAAGAGAATCAAGAAGCAATACAATCAACAATCATCAAGAAATTTGAGTTTTAAGAGAAAAGTTAGAGTGTTTGAAACTAAGGAGAGAAATAGGAAAGGAAATCTAAGAAAAAAAGTGACTTTTGGCTTTTATACGAAGATTAATATGACGTTGTTTTGAAGAGGCTTGACTTGTGCCTAAACTTGCTTGACTCACACGTTGACCTACTTCCTAACCCGACTAAATTGTAGGTTTTTTTTTTTTTAATTTTTTAATTTTATTTCTATTTTTTTCCTTTTTTATTTTAGTATTTTTGTGATTGAATTAAAATTGATGAGAAAAAGAAAAAGGAAAAAAGGAAAATTTTGGTAGGATTTTTATTATTATATTTATTTGTATGATTTTTATTATGACATTTATTTACATGATATTTTTTCATGATTACTTGCATGATTTTTATTATATTTATTTGCATGATTTATTATGAAATTTTTTTTTATAATATATTTGCATTATGATTGATTTTCATGATGTTTTGGTTATTTTAATTATGATATTATTGTATGATATTTTTCTATGATATTTTGATAGCATTTTTGTATGACTATATTTTGTAAATAAATAAAAGAAATTGAGATTTGATTTTTCATAAAATATTTAATAAATTCAATGATGGAGCCTCTTCAAGTAAACAATGAGTGTACCTTGAATATTCTTAAAGTGAGAAAAAAATTTTTTAGTGAAAACTTAAAGAATTTTTTTCTAATATTTAAATATCGACATAAATAAAAATAAGGAATGAAAAACTATCTTTGATTAAGGTTTGAATAAGATCACATGTGATTAATTTGGTATCAATTTTAAGCGTCATGGGTGTGTTAAAACCTTTCCTGCACTTAACCGACTTCCGAACTTAGTTTTATTCATGTAAACTATAACCTATTCTTTTTAGGATTCCTTAGTCAAGCTTAGGATAACCTTAAAAAGGATAGATTCACATAAGTGGTCAATCTTTAGATAAAAAAGATTGGTGATAACTCTATATTTTTGTATATAATAGACAAGTTCTCGAACTTAAACGTTATGATAGTTTGGTGACCCTGTTGGGGACATTAAAGAGTCAAATCAATAGTTAGTCATATGTTATGTTAACTTCATTTTAATGGTTTTTATTATGTAATTATTTATGATTTTTTTATGTTCACTAACCTATTGTTTATTTTGTAGCTTATAATTTTTTATGTGTACTAATTTATTTGTTTATTTTGTAGATTTTGATTTTTTATGTGTACTAATTTATTTGATTATTTGGATTGGTATGTTCCTTCACATACATTACACTTGCATTAATATGTAATCTCTAGATCTAAGTTTTGTCCTTTCTTAGAAGAGAGTAATTACCTCCACTTTCATGAGGAGATAACTTTTGTGTAAGCTAGTGAAAACTTCCAATTGAATTGATAATTTATTTGTTTATTTTGTAGATTTTGATTTTTTATGTGTACTAATTTATTTGA